GACTAGCGGGGTGAAGAGCAGGTGGAGGGGGGCTCCATTCAGCTCGCTCTCTGGCATGTGAGAACAGTTTCCCTTTCAGAGGAGAGCGAGCGAGCAAGTTAAAACACACACGCACACACACTCACAACAACAACAACATTTATTCAGGAAGCACTGTCTGCCCACTCAGGAAATTCCTGAGGACAAGAGCGGCTTCCAGGGGCAGGAAATTTCCCCTCAGAAACATACCACGATGAAGTGCAATGCGTGACATCCAAAATAAAAAAAACAAAAAAAGAGAGAGAGAGAGAGAGCAAGAGGGCATCTAGTGGTGCGAATTTATGCGGTTACTCACCGCTTACACCTACATGTGCTTTATACAAATATTCACTCATCCACCCACTCAGACATGCGCGTGGCGAGTAACGCGCGCACGCCGAGGCAACAGGCGGTCTTGTTGCCATGGCCGGCGCTTCAATCGGGGATCTTGTGACACGTTCAGTTTGGTACACTTTGAAGTTGGCGGAAATATGGCAGGAAGCGAAGGCACGAGTGGTCGTCCACATGTTGACATCTGGCTTGATGCAATGTGAAAAGTGGACTTTATAAAGCTACGGATCAGTTTGCGCTCTCGTTTCTGACTTCACGCGATGCTTTTTTTTGGAGGGCGGGGGGTACAATTTGGTGTAAGACCAATGCATAATAAATCGGATGTTGTTTATTGTAATTAGGGCTTGGTGATCAATTGTTTTCGTACAAATAGCAAAACGTGAACATGCAAGATAATTAATCTTGAAAATGAACCTTTTCAATATATCCACACTTTCCTCGTGATTATCGCCCTCGTACTATTTCTGGAGCAACCTGTGTTTTCCTTGACTGACGTTATCTTTTTTTTTTGCGGATTAAAAAAAATTATATTTATATATATAATATGAATGCAATGCAACATACGATATGGGGAGCCTTCACAATGCAGGGAACCCACACATTTAAATTGGCCAAAGTGCGGGTGTGACTGGGGGTGTTTTTGCCTTGTTGCGGTTTTGGAAGCATCGTGCCTTTGCACTAATGCTACGTAATGCGTCAAGACACAAACGCATGGACAAATTGGTCCAGATGCAGTTAACACACACACACACCCGCACACCCGCAGATGCATACAAGCAGTTGTGTTGGAGCATAACATTGTTTAGCGTTAAAAGCGTAGTGGCAGTACCATGTGAACTTAAATGCCGATTTTTGTCACTTCCAATGACAAATCAGTTAAAACAGACAAATCAAATTTAAAAAAAACACACTTTGCACATACTTTCCGATTATTTTGTGGTTAAAGGAAAAAAAAATAGTGACACCGTTGCAGTTATCTGGCATCAGTATCCAAATATGAAATTTGGCCGATATTGCCGAGCCCGAACTGTAATTCAGATTACCGTAATTTCCGGACTATAAGGCACGACTTTTGTCACACGCTTTCAACTCTGCAGCTTATTCCATGAAGCGGCTTATATAAAGACTTTTCTCACGGCCGCCTGTGTACCGTCTTTCTTCATAAATATCTCATGTTACAATATGGGCACGTGCGGCTTATACACGGGTGCGGCTTATGTGTGTACAAAATATTTTTTTCCTTTAAAAATGAGGTGGTGCGGCTTATAATCAGGTGCGGTCTATAGTCCAGAAATTACGGGACATTTTGTAAAAAAAAAAAAAAAAAAAAAAAATGTCTGTAGTCGCCGCTGTCCCTGAAAAGGTTAAACTGCCATCGCAAGATCGAGATGGAAAAAAAATGTTCGGCTCTATCTGGGCATTGAACACTAAGACAATGTGATTACAATTAAGTATCTTCTTTTAATTGGGGAGTTTGCAGTGCCTGACAGGGTTTATAATGCTCTGAGCATTCTTCAGTGTGAGGAGCCTGTCTGTGAATCCCCCACTCCCCCCACCCCCTCCCCATCTAATCCACTTCCTCTCCAGGAAATGGAGAAGGCGGATTTCTGCCCACACTGCAATTTCCTCCCTCATTCTTTTTCTTTCTTTCTTTTTTTTTCAACCCCCCCCCCCTTTTCTACTCCTCTCTTCCTTCACACTTGCGGACGCCTCATTTGCGGCCACACTCATGTTTGCCAAGGAAGGCCGAGCGGAGGTGTTGGAGCTTGACAAAAAGAAGCCATCGCTTCCTGCCGGAATCGGCGTGAAGTAACCGCGTTTCAAATGCGACCGCGGCAAACTTCCAACGAAAGCACGCGGAAGTGACCCCATCGCCTTAACTTGACAGGAAACAGAAGCAAAAACCCCTCCTTCCTTTTTTTTTTCCCTCTCAAACAATGCCTGAAGAGTTTCCTGTGAGTGTCAGCCGATGGCTTGACAAACGTCCTCAGCTCACCACATGGACGGAAAAAAAAAAACAAAAAGTTAAATATTGACGGATGTATCGGTCATAGCGGAGTTACTCATTGAACGTTGGGCCAACTATCTCTTGGCAGCCCGCCAACCCCACCTGCTCTCCTGTTGGTGAAGCAATAAGATCAATTTAGCAGCGTTTACCTCTAGCTCACTTCCGATCCGATTTCAATCAATACGGAACTAGAATATCATATCACCGGTCGCTTTTTGGGAAAATAATTACTGCATGGTTACATTGAATGTATGTACTTCTGAACTAGCTCCTTTCTAAACGTAGCCACGCCGCTAGCGCGTTTAGCATTAGCCACTTGTCAGCGCTTGGCCCCGCCCATTCGAACGCACTTACGTGCTTTGTATTGTTGTAGCATCTGGCATGCTGCCCAAAAAAAAAAGTGCTTCCTCAATGTTATTTGAATGTGAATAACGCTATTATGCCTTGGGTGACAATTACGACTTCCTTGTAGTTCGGGCTACCTGATCGTGACACAGTAGCTTACGACAGCCTGAACGTTCGGTTACTTTGTTAACACCGTTCAATAACAAGCCAATAAAAACATCTCGAAGACAGTTCCGCCTATTCATGTGCTATCCGAGACATTAAAATAATTTTGCGGATGGACTGTAATTCTAATGAATATGCCGATGAGATGAAAATCGAAAGTGTATTGAACAAGGGGGTGGCAAACCGCTGATCGTTTCCTTATAAAAGCCTGAAAATCCTTCAAAGTATTGACATGACTCAACTGGTTTGACGACATGAGTCACTCTTGGGATCCCGTCCATAAAACCGCACGCGTGTTTACTAAACAGGACTAGCGTCGAAAAACCTCATTTTGGTCTTCTTCCCATTGCATTCGCACTTCCGCAGTTTTGTTTTTGTTTGACAGTACCGAGCTCCGGCTTCTCGGCACTGTCCCGCCGCGGTAGGGTGCCAAAACAAAACCTACAGGTCTATCATTTTGTTTTTGCCAATCTACTTCAAGATCACTTCCTTAATTGTTGAAACTGAGCATAATGTTACAGTGGCTTCATTTTTTTTTTGTCCTGTACAGTAAATTTTCCTCCGTTTTTTTTTTTTTTTGGGGGGGGGGGTCATGTGACACGTGCACCTCATGATCAGTGCTAGACTGGCGTGGGTCACTTCGGACCCGGTGACTTTTCAAGGATGTTTTACAGCCAACATCTGCTTCAAGTAGTACAGCATGAATTGCGTGTGTGTGGGTGAGACTCACGCAGGTGTGCGGCCAGTCTGGCGGGCCTGTCCTCCATTCGGCTGGCTGGCCTGGCGGCGGGGGCATGGACGGGGGCGGGAGCATGGACGGGGGAGGAAGTGGAGTTTGGCAGCGGGTTCGCGGAAGGACTGAAAGAGTGCCTCTCCTGCTATGAATAGACAGAGAGACAAAAGCCAGGCTCACAAAACGTGCCAAGCCCACCACCGGCTCTGAACCCAAACAGCCCCCCCTACCCCCCCTCCCACCAATTACACGCACACACATACTCACAGGCTTGCCTCGCCTCGCCTCATATTATGCAGCCACCACACCAATAAGTCAGTATAGATTACTGATACATAGGCTTGTTATGCCACACTTTTTTTTAATGCACTGCAGGTAAAAAAAAAAAGTCGCTAGGTCAGTCAAATAGGAAAAAAAGTAAACATACATTATTCGATCAATGATATGAGAACAACATCTTTCGAAACAGCGCCATTTATATATTGGGAAACAAAGCGACAGCATGTTGTTTCAGATCGAGTACTTTCCCTACAGTTCCGATACCGAGCGCGGATACATCGTGACAGATACGAATGCAGTCTGTCACGATGCCGTGACAGATTGCATTACCTGAAAGTATCACCACGCGGCTGACATGGCTCCTACGCCGCCTGCCCGGAAATCAGATGTCAGGCTGGTAAAGTGGTATCGGTGTGAAGTATCGGTGTCTATTTTTGAAAAGGCAGCTGTTGTATTGGTTTTTATTCGATTATTCGGGTGTACCTCATGTTTTGGTGGTGTTTTTTTTGGTGTTTTTTTTGCTCAAATTCAAGTTATGCGGATGTTTGATGGATTTATGGCTGGAATTGTCCTCATTTTTGCTGTCACCAAAGGACGGCTCCGAGACTTGTCATGGGAAAAACGCGTCGTTCCAAACCGTTTCGACTGGCCGCCCGGAGCAAAATGTTTACAAGTTCTCAGCGCTGTTTCGTCCGGATAGTTTCCCCTGTGGAAAAGACAACCAAGACCACCGTGAAGAAGTAGTCCCGTCCCCCAATGTGTGTATTTCTCTTGGGGGTCGGGGGCAGGGAGGGGGGCTGTTTTGGGTGCACTGCGTTGGGGCAGACGTAACTGTTAAGCAGCATCGCTTAGAACGTGAGCTTATCCAGCGTCGGGTTCCGTTTCTGAGCAAGAGCAGAACAAGAAGCTGACATTTTTTTTCAAGCTGACATTTTTTTTTTTTTTTAAGAGGAAATGAAGCTCAG